GCAGGGTAGTGCATGAGCTTGGATGACATCCACATTGGCAGTGAAGACATACCCATTGGGAGAGCATAGCTGCAAAGAAAATGCTCATGTTTGGCTTCAACAAAATACATTACCCAACCATCAAAAAAACAGATTTTTGCAAAAATTATTTCAGGTGACTGCTCTCAAGAAAGAGACAATTTCCCCCACCCTCCAAAAAAAAAAACCCAACAAACCAAAGAGCAGGAAAGCCACTTATCTTCAGGCAGTTTTATACATTTTTAACATTCTGAGGGAGTTAATAGCCTCATAGTTAAAATAAGCATCGGTAAACTAGGACATTAGAGAGGCTTGTTTGGTAAGGAAGTCACAGAAAGTAACAGAGAGTGATAAAGTGAAAAAACGAGCATGATCATTCTCTTCTCAAAAACTCTGTATTTGCTTTGACAAAATGTTCTACAGTTTTTGTGAGGCTTTGGTCTGTTAATCAAAAAAAAGCCTACAGCACACTAATTCTGGCTGGATTTAGTGGTTGATAACAACATGTGAATCCCACACGTTTGTCTGGTATTAATTTCTTTCAAAAATACTCAATGGAGTTGTAAAAATTTGTAGGGAAAGTATCACAGAGGAAGAGATTGGGAAAGAGTGCAAGTTTGAAACTAAAGAGCAAAGTTTTCTGGATGGGTTGTAAAGTTTTGTGAAGAAAACTCATGTTCTTCCATTTCTGCCTTAAGTGCAGTGTAAGAAAAGCAGACACTATGCACACAAAGCAATAAGCAAGCACTTGCAGAAGGATTAGACAATTCTCATTTCCACAGACTGATTGGCTGCTAAAGCACTTAGCACAAACTATTTATTAGTTGCCAAAGCAACCACTAAAACAAATGGCAAAACTAAATGTCAGACTTGGTGTTTACATGGAAAATGACGGTGTAGGGCTTTTTTTTTTATTCTGAAATGCTGGGACTGCTGTACAGATGTCACTGGTGTACACGATACCTGCTTCCAAGAGTTACAGATGTGCAAACACCTTCCTTCTGCTTCCACATCTTCCCCATTTTTAACTCCTACATATCACATACTTTACATCTGATGTATCGACTGCTTCTAAGTAATGAAAATATATGTTGAAAGTTCTTTAGCAGCTCTCAAAGCTGAAGGCACTCAGCACAATGGGCTGGATTTTACCCCAACAACCGAACAGAGAATACACCTGTTTCAGATTAATTATTCCAGACTCCTGGTAAGGTGGTAACATAAAACCTCTGGGATCATTATTCTCCTCTCAAGAATTACACCAGGACCTACTTGGGGGAAAAAAAGAAAAACCAGGAGGGGGTGAAGGTCTGTCCCTGACAATTGCAGAACAACCCCCCCCAAAATAAGGGCTGCTCACAGCTGAGGCCTGGCTGCTAAAAATGACTGCTAAATGCTAACTGTAATGAAGGGGTTCATTACAAATCACAGAATCATAAAGACCAGTCTTTGAGTCACTTAGTATTAGATATACTTTTCTGGATATGGTAATGATTTTAACATTATTGAATCTTTTTATATTGCTTTCCAAGAAGGATAAACACAGTATATTTCAAAGAACAAGTAACTGTTTTCTATACTCTGATCAGCACCAAGCCTTGAGCTTTGCTAAACAACATTAAGATGGTAAAGAACATGCATAAATTTTTCTGTACTGAGCTAGACTTAGCTAGTTGCTTAGAAGGTTAACTTATTTACCATATAGAACATTAAATCTTTTCCTTTGTTCTGGGAAAATGTATTGAGTTATACCTTCCAAAACAATCTGCTTAATAGCTGTACCATAAATGCTGGGCACCTTCTAGCCAACACCGCAGGAACACAGATGTCTTTTACAGCTAATTCAACTGGAAACTGTGAACACTTAGCATACTATAAGCTCTCCAGCTACGTTCTCCCTCTCTCTCTCAAACCATAGCAAGGCAGAATGAACAGACTTAAGCTGCTGCCAAGGAAGTTGTGTGAATCACACAGTTCCTGAAAGCATTCAATGAAACTGCTTAAAGCTCCATTTTAAAGGCTGCTTGCAGGAGACAAGAATCTCTGCAGCGTTATGGAAGGCATGAAATCTCCCCTTGAAAGCACTATTCACAATTATATATGCAATCGGTAATTAAAGGAGACCATCTTAGCCACTAATATACAAAACATAGCTTGTTGTGAGACATTCATTTTAATCAGATGTCTGCCTCCTGTTTGAATTTACTGGAAAACCAGTTGGCAACCGAAGTGGAAAATGGACACATGGTTTTCTCCAGTACTTTGCAAACAGAAATATTGAAGGATTGAACTGTTCTTATTGAGCCTCACATTCATAAAGATACTTTAAGGGGAAAAAAAAGAAACCTATGATGTCCCTGGATAAAGTAAACCGTTAATCATCTTTTGAACAAGAGAAAACTGAAGCTGGATAGAAAATAAAGTCACAAAGCTGGGAAGAAAAAATCATTTCCATCATCAACATAAGTAGTTATACTTTAGGACATGAAAAAGACACTATTCCCTGCACTTAAGTCCATTATGGCTTTTGGAATTATTACCAGTGATATCAAGCTTTTTGTCCGTATTTGGAAACACATGACCACCTACAGAAGGTAGTACGTCACACGCTGAACTCAACTAGACACTACACTGCCATTAGTAACCTAATAACTTTTTGACTGTCGGGAGAACTGAACTGGTGACTGCCCTTCTGAGCCAAGAACCTTTATTTTACCTTAAGATCATTATATTGAGACTCATATGCCTTAAACTATTGAGTGGAACATTAAATTACTGCCTAAATTATTTTGAGATCATCTCTTACCATTATAGTTTGCTGACTGCAAAGGATTTACTGCTGGTACACAATGGCTAAAATGGAAATAATCTCAAACTCCAACCTGAATCCAAATAAAGTTGACTCACCTACTTTCAAATGTGCTAGTTTTAATTCTGCATGGTCAAGTATCTCGTTACTGATAGTTGGGCATTTTAGCTCAGAATTATTCAAGACTAACATATGTCTATATTTCTTTTTATTAATGCTGTGAAATAAACAATAAATTATTGCCTTCATGCTTAGGCAAACTTCAATTTGAATTCATGCTAATTTACTTTAACTGAACTTCTCCAGGAATTATTTTTTTCAATGAAGTACACCGGATTCCCTTTAGTTGCATTTTTGCAACCACATAGGTGCAGGTCACTGAAACATTCCCGTGGGTATTACAAAAAGCTGGTGGCATTCACTGCCCAACTGGCAATACATGAGAACTCCCTAGCTGAGCAAGAAGTACATCAGTCCAGAAGCGTGTCAAGCTTCCAAAGGAAATACTAATAGATGGATGGAGCAAGAAGGATGACTCAAGACTTGGTTTCTAGTCATTGTATTAATTCTCACTCTGAATAAAGCAGCCTTATGGAGCAAACAGGGACACTGCGGATTCTGAGGGGAAAGTTCATCCTCTCCTAATACTGCCAGATACCATATGACCACATAGTCAATTGAGTAGGTACCACAGAACATTGGGCTGATCAGTATTTGTGTACACCAGGTGAGCTCACTGCAGTATAAAGCCAGGAGAGTTTCACAGTTCTTGTTTCCAACTTTGGAACTGTATTTCTAGTTGCCTTCCATTACAGCTCTAATAATGTCTGAGCCCTTAACTAAGAATTAGAGAGTACCGGTGATTATCACATACTATGCTGCTACAACCAATATTAAAATTTCCACCATCATCCTAATGAAATCTTAACACCAAAACCCTAGTGTAAAGTATTTAAACATGAGCAATATGAAGCGAAAGCCAGAAAACAGAAAAGCCCACTCATATGCTTTACATATGGAAAATACAATCATATGAGAGGCAATGACTTAGTTTTAAGTTTCAAGTATGAAAAAGCAAATCCTCACAAGAGCAAAATCAATTACATGATGTGGTGGGTTGATCTTACTGGCTTCCACATGCCCACCAAGCTGCTCCATCACTCCCCCTCCTCTGCATGATGGGGGGAGAAAACAAGATTAAAAAAAACTCTTGTGGATTGACATAAAGGCAGTTTAATAAAGAAAAGCAAAAGCTGCACATGGAAACAAAGGAAAACAAAAATAATTTATCCTCCTCTTCCCATCAGCAGATAATGTCCAGCCACTGGCTGGAATGAAGGACCTCAGCACTCGCAGTGGTTCACGTGGAAGACAAATGCCTTAATATTGAATGCTCCCCCTGCAACCCTCAATTCTCTCAGCTTTTATTGCTGTGCACAACGTATGGAACATCTCTTTGGCCAGCCTGGGTCAGCTGTCCTGACTGTCCCCTCTTAACCTCTTGCCCACCCCCAGCCTTCTGGCCTTTTGCAGGGGGCTGGTTTTGGAGAGAGAGCCTTGATGCTGCGAGCACTGCTCAGCAGCAGCCAAAACACTGGTGCCTTATCAACACCTTTCGAGCCACAAAGACAACTTAACTCCATCCCAGCCGGACCCAATACACATGTCTGTACAAAGAAAGTGTTAATTAAGAACTCCTTTTGAACTTACCTAGTTAAAAAAACGCTTCCTCCTGTGAACGACTTCCTTGTACTTTACACAGCAATTAATAAAATTGAGCATTGAGGGGGAAGGGAAGAGTGCCTTCCTGAAGAAATTCTTGCTTCTATAGATTTTATTCCTTTTTCCTGAGAACTTGATTCCTTTATCCTTACTTGTTTTCCCTAGGTTTCTAATCTCAGCAGAGGAAAGTCCAATAGATTTTTATGCTACCTATTAAAAATGTGAAAGCTAACAATAAATCATCTTAAAACCACTCCTCTTTGCCATCCAGGTAAACCCGATTTCCAGAAAGCAAATAACAATATATCCCTCCTCTACAAACTCTGCAAATTAAACTACTCATAACTGATTCATTCCTCCAAAATCCCTCTGACATAAAATGGGATTAGCCATATACTTCAGTGAAGGATTTCTGTAATGAAAAATCAAAGTTTCAAATGATGTTCTATACCTGCAAGATCTTCTTTGGAAGAAACGAGTCGAGGAGAGCTGTTACCTGGCTCAATTCTTAATGACAATCTGGAAAAGAAGATAATTAAATGAAAGTTATAATATTATAAGCTACCCTGCTTCACTGTGTTTTTTATGATGCACTCGTTGCCTTCTCAGCACTCCAGTACATCTTGATCTTCCAGTGCATATGACTTTTGCCACCTCTCATGTTTACACACTCTCGACATTTATAGGTTCTTTGTTCTGTACCAGTTTGACAAAAAAAATTGTGGAGAGCCACAATGTTAAGTAAACTTTAATGGAATAGGCTTAAACCCAAAGGAAATAACTGCTGTCATTGCACAGCATTACGCACGCAGAGTTGTGAAGGTTTCAAGCTACAGACTGCAGTTCTCTGCTGGATAAAAACACCAGTGAAAGCCTTTTGTACTAAAGACATGCACAAGAGCGGGATGGGATGGATGACAACAGATGACAACCACCTGAGACAGCATTTCAAAACCAAAGTTTATGCAAAACAGAACACTCATTTCAACTTGTTTCATGTAACAGTTGTTCTCTAACCAGCAGCAAACAACCCTTCTCCCCCGAACCTGTCACTGTTCCACAAATACTTATTTCTTTCTTCTGTTTCTGTCTGTACAAGGGAGCTGTTACTTATCCGTCCCCACATGTGGTAACTGCATGTTGCAGTTTCTGCCAGCTTTGAAGAACTCATCTCTGATGTTCTTTCCTTATGTTGTTATCAAAGACGTTATTCAGTTTTACTAGTCCCCTGTGGCAACAGCCACAATTTATTTGGTCACTGTGGAAACATTTTTCTAATAAGCCCATAGCAAAAAGATACAACTGCAATTCAGTCAATGTAAGCAAATAGCTTCTCCCTTTTACAGTGATGTGGTTTGTAATGCACTCCTCTGAAAATGTAATCTAGCTATTCAACATAAAAAAACACAGGATGTGTTAAAAGAATAAGAAATAAATATGAGCCTAAATTTGAACGATGTTAAACATAAAATACTCATGGTGACACATTTAACAAAATATTGACGATAAACTGTGAGAAAAGGGAATATATTCTGACAAGGAGATGTCACCCCTCGACCACCTTCTCTCCTGTTCACTCTCACACCCAGAGGGCTGGAAACAATAGGAAACATTTTCATTCCAAAGAGATACTGACAGTCAGTACAGTCTCAACCAGCCTTGGCTTGTTTGCCACCACCCAAATTCATTTTTGCAATTCCTCTGACACTGCATTTTCCACTGAGCAGCACAAGTTCCATGCGTGTACACGCATGCTCTGCTCTCACCTCACCTCATATGCAGAAAATGAAATATGCACCCAGTCTTGAACACAGTTCTATTTCATGGAAGGATTCTCTCCAGCACAGGATGGAACTACTTCTAGGATAGTGAAGCTACTTTTACATAATTCTCCTAATATTAGGCAAGTAAAAGAAGACAGGGAATAGCCTTACATGAAGAAGAAATTTAGCTGCTCCATGAGGAGGCTGAACAAAACTTACTCGTCTTTTCTGAGACAAGACTTAAGTTGCAGTAAAGCAGTTCAAGCCTCAAAGCTGTCACTCAGAGCATTTCTGACCAGCATTTGTGTATGAAGCAGAATGGGTCTGATGTATCTTGAACATTTTCAGCTGCCTATGTAGCACTTAAACAGTAGGTCCAACAGCTTCTGGAAGCTTCACTGTCCCCAAGAATGAACTGTGGAAGAGCAGCCAAGTCACAATTATAGCTATTGATCAATAGCTCGAGTGTGAGGTGTCCCTGCCCATGGCAGGGGGGTTGGAACTTGATGATCTTAAGGTCCTTTCCAACCTAAACCATTCTATGAATCTATATGGCCGCTGGAACACTAGAAATCTCAGGCTAACACAGTGCTGCCTAGCTAAGGAGAAAACTGCACACCTGGGGACAAGCACTGTCTTACACCCCTGAAGGAGGAAGAAGATCCTGCAGCAGCTGCATCTGGTACCTATGAAGGCTACCTCTGCATCTGGTACCAGTAACGCCCTGAGATAACAAAGATTAGCAATACATTTTGGATATAGCTGGAAGGAATCTTGATGCTTTGGGTCCTGGTTTTTCTCCCTTAGTCTTGTAACCAGCAAAAGTTGTAATTTCTCAGCTTCTGCAGAGAACAGCGTATAGGCTGAGCAAAAAAGACCTATTATTTTTAGGTTATGACATCATTGTCAGGGGTTTTCTGGAGTGTTCCTACTTGCTGACAAGCACAAACCTAAAGCGAGCAATTGGACTGGCACAAAAATTGTGGAGAAGAGCTTGTTTATATAAAGTGGCTGCCAAATTTCCCTTTTCAGTGCAACTGAGGTTCTCATTTGGCAAAATGTGTGTTGGGATCCTGCCAATACATTTTAGGGCAACTATCTAAGCTTCTCTCCCTGACAGCCTGGTACTGAGATAGTTCTGTTCTCTCTGCCAAAGGTCAAGCATCCATCTCTTCAGAGCACACTAATGCTGTCCCTGGCTCAAAAAGAGTGGTCACTTTAAAGAGAAAGAAAGATGAGATTCTTTTCCACTATAAGAACTTAGAAGTCTTTGCCTTTTTAAGGCTTACAGTTTCTTCTGGCATGGGACCAGAAAATGCTATAAAACTGAAGACCTACTAGGGAAAACCGAGAGGAAAATGTGAAATCAAATATTCAAAACAAAATTCAAAAACTTCTGCACAAATACAAAGATAGAAGAGGCATCAGAGTTCTCCTTCAGGGCAGTTGTGTGCAGTTTTGATGAATAGACTTTAATTTAAAGCTTTATTCTGATGAAACAAAGGTGGCAGAAAAAGGTCAAACTTTTCCAATGTACAGAAACTGCAGCAACTTCACTATGCTAAGAATCAAGTATTTCCCTCTTTTTAGTATCTCTTGTGAGATCAGTCCAGATTTTCCTTGCCATAGTAAAGCCTAGAAAGAAAACTCCTAAATTTGACTGAAATAGTCTCAGAAATAACTAAAGCAGAAGAAGTTGTACTAAGTCTTTAAGATACACCAAATACCTTCCAGCATTATCAGCAAGGCTGCAGCTAAAGTTAAAATGATTTTCAGATTTAAGCTGGAATTACTCATGACTTGTAGTTCTTCAAAGTATTCTGTTACAGTATCATATACTCACAGAAACCACTTGTTTAATCTATTTTTCTTAAGATATTACAGTTCATGAAAGCTGTTGTATATATAGTGTTAACATTGATGCATCATCAGGAAACTCCATCTAAAAACCACATTAAGCAACATGACCACTTTCTTGAACCCAATCCAAGAGCTGTAAAGCCTGTACTAACCACAGTTCTTCACTACATCACTACTATAGTTTTTCTGTATGTTCATGATTTTAATGAAGCATAGAATTTTGTGGGTAATTAGTAAATAATGACTGTTAAATATTAATACTGAGATTTAAATCTCAGACTACTCTTAACGAAGCCATGGATTGCCTGAGCTTTTCAAAAAGCTGTGCATGATGCTAACGTTCAATATGCATCTGTTGCAGAACGCATCTCTATTTGTGAGCACATACAATGTCTGGAGGCTGAGAAAAGGGAAAACATACGTATTCTATCATTGGTACTCTGGCACGAATTCCAATTCCATGAAGCAGATAAATTTTGCTATGAAAAAAAGTCAAACACATTCTTTTTTCCAAATAATTTTCCTACAGAAACATCACTATGCTCAGTATCTGTGATCAACCAGCCACAAAAGCACAAACCATAGTCAAGCATGATCTTTCACAGTGAACTACCTTCAGCCAATGACTTTCTGTTCCACTTTAAATCAAACTAATAGCCAAGTGATCTTTCCATTAAATTCCACAAAATCTGAAGAAAAGAACAGTACTTACTTATAATTATCATCTTCTACGAACTTCTGAAGTTCTTCAATGTAACGAACAGACTTCAAATACTTTTGCACATGGGGCAGTGTTGTAAGATGATCTGTGGAGTGTTCAAACAGAAGATGAACATTAATGTCACCCAAAATTCCTCATTCTTTCACGTTGGGCTTTTTTGTTTGGGGGTTCGTTTGTTTTTTTTTTCCTAGTTCTTATGGTTACCTTAATGGAAACTGAGATTTTAAACATTCCTAAATAATAAATCAGGCAGAAACATGAAGAGACTTAAAAAAATTAGAATGCTGAATACCAAGAAACAAAGACACTAAGTTCAGAATGACAGGAAAATCCCTTGACATCTAGTCAGGAACACGCCTTGTAGTATCTAACATATCGTCTCTGAAAGACAACTCTTTTAAAAGGCACCTATTATTCCAGAATATTATTTCTTCAAGGCCATGCTTTAATTGTCATTCTCATTTCAACAAAAGCACTAAAAATTAATGTACAGCAATACAGAAAGCCACCAAAACTGTAAAAAGGAAGGATTAGTGACATAATGAGGTTTCTTTGTCCAAGTATTCAGACAAAATGAAACTCATAGTAAGAACATGATAGCTGAATAATCAAGCTATTCAGAATCATACACTATTATGGCTAGTCCCTTTGAATACACTATAACACCCAAGCTGACAGCAAAGGACCAGAACTGAATACTTAAGCATACACAAGTGATTTCTCACCTCCTTTTTTTCACAATCTAAATTCTTTTTTTTCCTATTCAAAACTCTCCAAAACTGTAGCATTTAAATGTTCTGAACTTACTCAATTCTGCAGCTGCTCTCAATGTTTCCCAACTTATTTCATGTTTAAGCTAAGAAAAGTTATGCTAAGTCACCAACAGCACTCTGAGTATTCATCAACAGCCCCAAACCAGCACATTTCTTGACATAAGGCTTCACTAACAGCCTAGAAAATTTGAGAGTAAAATGCTGTTAACAAAAAGGAACAGCCCCTCAAGTTCCTCACTTCATCAACAAGTGAGGTATGTGGAAAAGCTTAACACACAATTTTACAATTGTTGTGTAGATAGCAGTATTTGTATTTCATTTTGTAAACGTATCAGTATGCTAACAATAAAACTAAGACATTCTATGCTCCAAAGACATCATACCTACTGCAAAGGAAAGATATTAAGATGTTTCTGACTGCCTCTGATGGGAACAGAATATAACCCAAATGCAATAGCTGTACTTGAAAATATGTCATTTGTAGTCCACATTTTGCAGTAAACTCTGCTCAACTTCTGTTATAGCTCTTACAATTAAGAGTAAATGCATATTTGCTTAATTTACTGGTAAGACTGAAATTGCACAGAAGGAGAAGCTACATTACTTACTAGTGTTCAACTCTACCAACGTTAGCCTCTTGTGCTGCCTTTACACAGGACTGAAACCACACAATATTGTACTACAGAATTTTTAGTTAAGCCTTAACAGATACAAAAGATTTACCAACCATAGTTACAGGAGACTTGCAGATCAGCTATTATTCGGAGAATATTGTTCATTTGATTGGATCTTTGTTCATTCTCCATAATGCTGCCTGAAGCAGGATATGCAGAATCAATGTAGATTAAATCCAGGAGATAAATTCCTGAAACAAACAAACCAATCAACCAATTGGTCTACGTTTCAACCACAAATAATTGAATCATTTTTCATGAACAGAACCTCCAGCAACTATTCACCCCCACTGTGGTCTGGACCCATCACACAAAAGAGAGCTTCGGATTTGCTTGGTGAAAAAACTTCAGAATCAGTGCTTGAGTTCTATGACACCTCTTGAAAAGATTTTGCAATTCTATAAGCTAATGTCTGCTATGAGTACTTTGCAGGACCATGTCAAGGACAAGGACACTAAGAAAAGAAAAGTGACAGCTGCTATGAACTGCTAATGACAGTACAGGCAGCATGCATGTAGCTGACAGTGAGCACAACAGCCTCTGGCCACGAGCTTCACTACCACTATTTACCACATGAAGATATTACTGCATGTTCTGGCTGAGGCTCTAGGCTGCATTTGCTGGAGCAACTGCTCGAGGAGGTGATATTTAGCTTTTGATCATGTGATGATTTAAAAAAAGCAGAAAGAAAAGGCGTTTATTTCTTAATGTCTTAATTGAAAGAATGGCAGTTATTTGCCTAGGCCCAGATTTCTCAGTGAGACGCAAAGATGCTGACTGTTCTTCCTTGTGCTGCACTTTTCCAAAGCGCTAGTTGACGAGACAAAATATCTGGTTGGTAAGGAAGCCTATTATAGTCACAGAAGTCACGTGTAGCAAGATGTCAGGTATCTTCATCACCATAAATATACTTACATCCAGTGTTTGTATGTTGTATGGTACTTCTACCTTTACACATTATGAGAAAAAGGCAGACTTAAGGCTGAAATAAATCCATGATAAAGTATAAGATCTTTTACATAGTACCCATCTGCTTTTTATCAACACATGCCATTCAGTTTCACACAAACTATTTCGATTTTTACTGAGCTTCTTTTACAGCCCTAGAACAGTCAGACAGCAAACACAAACGAAGGGGAAAATACTAACTGGGAAGTATATACAATCATCAAGTTTGAGAAAACTGGATCTTCACTGTAATTACATACAAAGTTTTAGGTTTCAGCTCTGGAAAACTGAAAGATAATTCTACAACACAGCCTTGCAAAACTCATGAAAGCAACTATGAAAGCATAATGCAAGGCTCATCTATTTACTTCAGCAGCTAATGGAATGTGTTTAAATGAAGATGCGGAAGAGTACCACTCTTGCCTTTTGTGAGGATACTTTCATCAGTTTCAGTATTTCAATTGTATGAGTGCAGCTAAGGAGTACAGAGGCTCTGAGTGTGTGTGTAAAATCAGTTCAGTTTAGGACTTCCAGCTATGCTCTCTGTTGATCAGACCCTGGGTGCAATCATAGGATGGAAAAAAGTTGTAATGCACAGTACTCTGTGGCTCAACAAAGTCTGCTGAGGTAGAGTTGTAACAATACACTTCATCATCTTCAGTGTGTCCTTGGCCACATAGGCACTTTGTGCAAAGACGCCCTGCAGTAAGTGAGAGCAATCACTGTATAAAGGAGACTTGCTGCTCTTTTGCTTCTTCATGGAGCCATGCGACACCCAGGGATACCCAAACTAGACAATACAAGAAAGAAATTGTGGCTTCACCCATTCTTAACATAGGTTTTGCTTTTCCAAATTTAAAAAATCCCGTAACTGCACAATCTGCAGGAAATACGAAGTACTTAGATTTATAATCACATAACTTTGAACACAAGTTTGCAAACAGTTCATGCAAAACTTACACAAACACAAAGCCATTGCCAGTAGTGATAAAGAATAATGAAGTGGATGCAACCCGAATACTGTAATACCATTTACAGTAGAAATCTTTTATGTATAGTCTTTGATATTTTGACTTCTACTGACAAAATGAGGTGCAGATCAGATTCTGCTGGATGTGCAATTCTAAGAGGAAATCACAGTTTACACAGTGAACTTACAGCAAAATATAACTATGTTCTAGCATGACTAAAACAGTCTTTTTGCATCTCTAAACTTAATGCTTCTGTATAAATTAAACAACCCAAAATAACCTGTGCATGATGATTTGTGTCACTCTGCACTCCATACAGAATGGAAGCTCAACCAATGGAGGCAGCTCAAAGCAGAAGAAACTAAACTGATGGATGCCAATAAAAAAAATCAGACTTAATATGCTGGAATATAGCAAAACATATTCTCTGTAAATTCACATCAAGCTCACACCTTTTCAGGAGTGTTCCTCTCCTGCCTCCTTTCAAAGCAAGAAGGATTAGTTTCTACTGATCTTTTTCTTAGTGTTACCAGACTTCACCTGGGCAGTGGCATTCTGAACTCTTCCATATATATGATGCAATAATAGGAATAGATGAGAATACATTTATTTTGCTCAGAGAAATACAAATTCTTCCCTTCAGCAAGACTTTAAGACCTGCTTCTCAAAGGAAAGGCTTGGGGTTGCCATATGCCAAAGAAAACATACAGTACTAGTTTTTCAAACCTTGGCTTACATTTGTGCTACTGTGCACTGAGAAAGCTCTCTAAGATGTGAAGCCACCAGGATATTTTCCAGAGGGTGAGCTCATGGGCAGCTGCTTCCACAGACAAAACATTTTCCAGTGATACTGACTTTTCTCCATTGTTACTAGAACTGATTTTGCAGCTGGATATTGTGTGCAGACAACACAGTATTTATTACCTTATGGCATCATGGAAATAACACCACAGAAGTAGGAAAAGCATGGCCAAATAATCCAAAACTAAATTTATCAATGAATTCTCACTGTGTGAAAGCAACTGATTGTTTTTAAATTGGCAAAAAGAATTCTAATACCCAGCTCTTAATTTTGTATTTCAGAGCTCAAAGTAAGCAGTAATGGTACTGACAGTTTCAAGACAGAGAAACTGAAGTACAACAACAAGGTGACCCTGAAATGTCAGTTAACACCACCCAGATGATACAGTTTGAGGGCTCCATCCTCCAGACAACAACTTCCAAGGCTAAAGTTTTACTGAAAAAGTATTTATAGATAAGTGCAGTGCTCAGCAGGATGCAAATCTAAGTCTCAATATTTGTGCCTTCATTCATAGCTAAGCTGCTTTTATTACTTCTTTATTCAATACTCATGGCTTCTGAAGAAGAAAATAGTACTGATGCAGATAATAAGCACACTTTGCAGTTGATGGGTACTAACAACATACTCTTAAGAAAGATAATCTCAAGCCTTCCGAAATCAGTATTCAGCTTCACTCAATTCTGATGAACCTCAGTGCAAGCATATACAATTTTCATTAACAGCTATGGTGTGGGATTTCTTCCTCATTGAGACAGACTGACATAACATGCTATGAAAGACAGAATACTTTCAGTCAAGTAAATCACATGTACAGAGTTGAACCAGAGGGAAAAGCTGGATGGTACTACTTTAAACCACAGTGACATTTACTTTAAATTTGGGTTCAGATTTTCTGTTCTGGCACAGATTTCTTTGACCTGGGCAAGTTATTGTTATCCTCTACTTCCCACAAGTTCAGGGAGATAGACAGAATTGCTCTGTCAGAAAGACCTCAGGAAAATAAACATTATGACTGGGAAAACTTAACAAAAGTGGATTAAATTATAGAAAATACATAATTATGTACAGCTATGAAGGAGCAGCACCGTGTATTCTCAACAATTCAGAAGTTCAAATATCTTGGGGGGGGGGGGGGCTGTGACAATTTGCAAGCAGAAGGTGTAATAAAAAACTTACAGTACCTAAAAATGTCTCACAAGCACGCACTGTTGCAAAACATCATAAAAAAACCTGCAGATACAGAGTGAAAATTCGTATCATTCTCAGTTGTGTCCTTTTTTGTCTTTTATTTTTTTATAATGGATCTAAAACTATCCTGTGAAATAGTAGGGCTAACAACCCCAAAATTAAGGGGTTAAAGCATACTCCTACTGTATACTTTACATATACTTTAGTGCACAGTGCTCTGCAGTGCAATTCTGCAAATGCAAGTTAGGAAACACGGCTCTATGGTATTTTTGTTAGTCAGACATTCACTACTTTGCCACACAGAATTAGCTGATGTGGAAGTATTTCAAATTAGCCTCGGGACTTCCAATCTGTTATTCTTACTTAACATTTGTAACAGTCTTCCACACTTGTTTGGTAAATCGTACTGTTACTGTGACAACCACAAACACATTCTGTAAGAGGAAAAAAAAAAAAGAAGTTAAATGTTTTAATGCACAAATTTAGTTCCCTACTGATCATCACGTACACTTTCTGAAGATATTCACAACCCAGAAGCCCCTGAATGCACAGATCCTGCTCTCTAACGTGGATGTCTGGGTATTATAGAGCATTCTTTCAGTACAGGAAGCACTGTCTACAAGACACGCAGTAACTGCCATGCATAACAGAAGGAAACCTATGGAAAGTAATTATTTTCCCTTCTTTCTCCCCAAAAGTTAAATAATGACACTGGTTTGATAGGAAAACCAGAAGAGACAAAAATATGTTTCAAATTTGTAGTCAGCTATATTTATGAAAGCCTTTTCCCACATACAGTAGAATGTTTGTATCATACTAAATAAAGCAGAAGGCAGCAAGAAAGCAACTTATCAATTAAGTAAGTGGTAAAAAGTCCAAATCACTGCAGTCAGCAGTCTGTAAAACCAAAGACGCCATTCTTAGGAGATTAGCTCATAGTCAGCAACGCCAACAGTTTTGTGGTATCACTGGTTTCAAGAAGACTGGATATTTTCCATGGACTAAGGGCTGGAAAATTTTTCTACAAACCCAAATGTATATCCTGGTTAACCTTGGTAGGACTTGGCGTACTCTGGAAACAACTGAAGACAAATCTCTGCCAACGCAACAACATGTGATTTGTAAAATATATTGCTGATGCAGTGGCCAAGTGAATGGGATCACTCACAGGGAAGTAAAGGTGGGATTACAACCAGGTTTATCACTTCTATGGGATGTCAGGTACCCAGAGCGTGGCATCAGGATCACACACATGCACAAATGGAGAACTATAATGAGGCCG